GAGTACCCCACTGCAGGCTAGACAACCATCACATTCTGACACACCCCCATAGTCAAAGTGGGGTACAATCAACATAACAAGCAGACATAGTAATAGTTCACAATTATAAGCAAAGCTAGAGGCTATCACAGAGGGCAAGTGAGGAGGAGGAGAAACTGTGGGAGCAAGAAGATGAGAGGCGACGGCTGAAGCTGCAGACACACAGGCAGCAGGAGTACGCCGCACGGACGCTACCTGCTAAACCAAACCCGGACTACACGGCGACAGGGGGTCGCAGCTGGCTCGCTGTGCTCCCAGGAGTGCACACACTGTAGCTACCGGGCGCAGCCCTGGACTACTCAGGCCCACAGGGTCGTGGCTCCCTGGACTTCAGGCGCTGCGGACGACAAGTCGACGGCCTCCTCTCAACTTCCCCCAGCTGTCCCACCCCCTTTTTTACACCCCCTGCTGTTCCCCTAGCACCGCTCACACTACACCCCCTAGCGCCACTCCCTCGGCTCCCACACACCCACCCCCCTCAGCGGCAGCTGCAGCAGTGGGAGACGGAGAAGGAGGAGGAGCAGGGAACGGCACTCAGTGGCTTCACCCCCATACCCCTCACCCCCAAACCCTAATTCAGGAGAACGGGCTGTAGGAGGGGTGGGGCGCCAGTAGAAGCACGGGGGACAGTGGGGAGGGCAGGGGCAGCGAGGAACGGGCCGCCCACGGGCCTGGCATAGCCGCCCGAACCGCGCGCAGGCGGCCCGAGCCGCGCGCGGGCCTGGCGCTTCCCGTACGGGCCGCGCGCGGGCCTGGCGCAGCCCGTACGGGCCGCGCGCAGGCCACGACGGGCGGGGGGGGCGACGCGCGGGTCCCCGTCGCCCGTCGCAGCGCCTCCCGGGGGCGACGCGCCGAGTGACGGGGCAGAAAACCGCCGCGCGCCCCGGGCGCGCGGCGGGAAGAAAAAATCGCTGCGCGCCCGGAGCGCGCGGCAGGCAGGAAACAGCAGGAAACAACAGCGGAAGCTTCTGGTGGGACCACCCACAGGATCGACCCAGGAGGGTCGACCCGCTCTGATACCATGTCACAATGCTAGGCCAAAACGAGAAACAGGCAAGAAGGGTTTTGACTAACAAGCATAGGGATACATATATGCAAACCCTAGAAGGGCTGTACTCGCTATAGAGTACCCCACTGCAGGCTAGACAACCATCACATTCTGACAGGCCGCACACGCGTGAACACCTTGGACGCCAACGGCGATGACGTGCGCATCCCTAGCCGGATCCTCGAGCAACTCATACAGGCGCAGGACAAGAGCGCCAAGGAGAACGGCGTTTGGAGGCGCTGTTCTTGAATGCGATGTCTCGCCCTTCCGGTGGCTCTGGTAAGCGTAAAGCTCAAAGCAGAGAGACCCGGGGCAGGGTTGTATGAACCCGAAGCGACAGCGTGGTGAGACGTGGAGTGGCGGGTCCGACGGCGACGGCGAGGATGACGATGACGACACGCATGGTTCTGGTGGCCGTCATATGCGTACCGCGAAGTCTCCTATTCTGCAACGCGTGTTGGAGCATTTGCCGCGGACAAGGCATGGAAGGTGAGCGGGCATGTTACCGTTGGGGCCTTTTTTTCCGTTCGTCGTGTTGGGCTGCCATGTGGGTCAGGTGATGGTTACCGGTTTGCACTTATATCATGTTTTGTGTACACCGTATGTGCGCAGAGGGTTTGCGAGCTGGCCAGGGTGCACATGTTTCTCAACAGGCCGACGTCGACGATGACCTTCTACCCGAGCAGCGACGATAAGACTCACGGAGTGTGTGCGGTGCTGGACCGCCTGCCGCATAGCTTGCCTGTTTGGCGCTGGCGGCTGACAGTCGCGTCGCGCGGATCTCACAAGACGCTATCTGATGGGAAGACAAGGGCTGCCGCACGCGTGCGAGACATTGCACTTCCCAAGCTCGGATAACCTGCGACGACAGGGACGCATCCAGCCCATGGCGCCCCCGAGAAGGCACGCAGTATCGATAAGATCCGGAGCGCATTGGTCTTGGCGCTGACCCCCCTGGTGAGTGCATTCTACCACTGCAGAGGGTTACCTACGTATGCTTATGCTGACACACCTCGTGGTTGGCGACGGCTGACACTGACAGTGCGCATGTGGGTGGCAGAAACCCTGGTGCTCACGAGCTGGGCGAACGACCGTGACGGCATGCCGTTTGCCTCCGGGCGTTCGCGACATGCGCGAAGGCTGCATTCAGGCCCAAGAAGGCCGGGCTGGTGATGACACTGAAGGTGTACCACCTGGCCTGGTTGGAGCATGTGGTGAGTCTGTGCGCCCTATGCGAGCCATGTTTTCGAGTTGTACCGCCGCACCATTTGGGTGACACGCTGGGTGGTGGATGCGCAGGTCTCCGACTGCGTCCTCTACTGGGAGGAGAGGAAAGGCCGGCTTTCCAACTCGGCCGGCGGCAACGCACACGTCGTGGACGGCCTCAGGTCCTGGTGAAGGAGGTCGTGGAGAGGGCGATCAGGATCCGCAACCCGAGTATGACGCAGAGCGAGAGGCGTGGATCTGGGGGCGCCATGGACTGCGCATCTCTGCGTGCGGCCTGGAGCACATGAAGCCCACCGCAGCAGCTCAGTCCGAAGAGCCTGAGGGGGACGACGACCTCTCTCGTCAGTTGGTGATGAGTAGGCCGAAGGGCGTTTGAGGGCGTTCAACATTGAGGCGCGCACCGTTGGTGGGACAGGTGGCTGGTGTCGTGGAAGGCAGCATTATCGGTTCCGTGTCAGGGTTGTGCGCAAGATTTTTAGTGGGCACTGGATGTTTGCATATGTGGGCTGCGAAGCTAGTGGGGTTATTTATATGCATGGTTACGTTGTATGCTTGTGTGTGTGTGAGTTGTTGATGGAGAAGTATTCATTGGGGTATATGCGCATTTGACCGTACAACAAGGACCCGTAGGTAGCGAAACACCGCGGGAATACCGTCAACCAGGTGTTTCGTTGGCGCCGCCGACCGCGCCGCAATTTGCGGCGCCTTTCACGGAACGTGACAGGTGTCACGGAAATGGTGTGGACGTGAAGCACCCGCGGGGCGCAAGCGTGGACATATGAGTGGATACAATGGATAAGATATGATGTCCCACCAATTGCATACAATGGTTGCACGCGCTCAAGTACGCGTGTCACCGCACGGAGCGAACGCCGCGTCGAAGTTAACGGGGGAACGCACTGTGATATGCGCGTTAGAGTGCGACTGATGTTCGGTGGTGATTGATTAGCGAAGACGTCGCGAATGCGAGCCACGGATGAGATGGTTTAGGGTAACTGTATGTGCGAGTACACCGATCGCACGGCAAGTGTACGGGGTAGATCGATTATTTTATGCGTGACGTGTCAGCACGGTGGTGGATACGATGTACATGGATGGACGATGCAGATGGCATCGACAGGTAGTCGCGCGTGCGTTACTACTGGTTGGCGAACGAGCTGGCGAAGTGTACGATACGGGGGCGACGCGACAGGTGTACGGTGACTATGAAATGTAGTGCAGGGTGCGGACGGGGAATGCGCAAGTGTAGTGAGGCCACGTGGTAGCATGCTAGTGGGTATCACCGGCGTGGTTTGCGGTTACCGCCCTGTGGGTTGCCTCCAACTGTCATCTGTGTACTGGATGTGCGTCCATCAGATGTACGGTGCAGAGCCGCGCGCGATGTTGGCGCGAGCATGTGCGATGTTGTGTTCGCGAAGTCGTAACATGATGTGCGAATTTATGTGCAGGCGACACGTGAACCATTGAGATTGCGTGACCCTAGTGTTCATCCAACGGTTGGGGTGCGGGTACGTTTTGGTGCATGTACGCTGACGTGGCCATGCGGGTTGAAACAGGGTGCCACGTGGGTGTGCGCGTACGGAGTGGCAGTTGGGTTGCGTACTCGTAGCTTTCTAGTCGAGTGGCACGGTATGGTTAGGTAAACTTTGTGTGGCGCAACCCGTTACTGTTCAGCAACTGCCCAGATGCGGGTGCAGTGGCTAATTTGATGCACGCATATGTACAGAATGTCGCGGGAAAGTGGACTCAAATTTGCTTTGTAAGTGACTGTCGCCATGCAGATCTAAAACCTTGACTCAAAAGTGCCGTGAAAAAAATATAGGGAATGTTGAGTAAAAGTTTCTTGCGATTTGCTTTTCGAGCTTTCCTTTTTCGCGATGTTTGTTGCACTGCTCTTCACAGGTGAGAACACTTGCCATAACTGTGCCGTCGTTAGTAGTAGCTGCGGAAGTCTTATCTTGATACGCCAAGCAACTGAATCATATCTTGCAGCTTAGTAGTTTAATTGAAAGCTGACAAAAAAAAACGCTCACTCTCTGTTTTTTCTTCATTTGCAGTGCTTTTGGCAACACAACAAGCCGATGCAAGTCGATTTCTTCCCAGCGCCGTCAACCGACTGCCAAGCAGCTTAGACTCAGCTGTCGCGGTGGCAGGCGCAGCAGCCAGTAGCAGCAGCCTCGCAGCAACCCTCGGTTCAACGCTCTCCGACCTCCAGACATCCGTGAACGACCAGATTGCGTCTCTAGACGAGCTTCTAGGAACACCGCTCGAGAAATTCTTGGCAACAGTCAGCAGCACCGCGCCAGCTGCAAGCGCCGCGCTCCAGGCACAGATAACCGCGCTAAAAGCCAACCTCGGTGCTTTGAATGCGAGCCTCGTCAGTTTGAACGCGTTGAACATCTCAGGGACCAATCTGACCGTTACTAAGGATCTGGTTTCTCAGATCTCAGGCGTTCAATCCAACATCTCCTCGATTAGCACCAGCATCGCTGCTTTGAACAAGGAACTAGCTGGGATTATCGGCTGAGGCATAGGCTCGGGAGTAGGCTCGGCGCGAGCGTCGATTGCATCCGGTGCTGCTTCCTTGAGGCAGAGCACTGCGATCCGAGCGGCGCTGAGGCAGCGGCTGGCGGCAGTGACGCAGAAAGTAGCGGGTCTCAACGCGAACATGTCTGCGCTCGCTGGGATGGTGAACGGCCTGAGCGGTGCTCTGAACAGTGCTGTGAACGCCGGTTTGAACGCGGCTGGCGACAGCAGCGTGGTGTCGGGCCTCACGAATCTTCTGCCCCAGCAGGCTGGCATGCTGCGTAGCGTGCTGACTTCATGCAACGGCCTGCAGTCTCTCCAGGCCGGTGCTGCCGACCTTCAGATCCTCAAGATGTAAGTGACCCCTATTAACCCCTGTTGACTCACGTTGACTGCTATTGACTACTACTGCTGGCTTCTTTTGCCCTTTGCTGCTTGAATGTTAAACGTGTGTTCTTTTCCCTCTCACCCCATCAACCTCCCCCCAACCCACAATGCAGTGGCTCGGACTACCTGGTCACATACTACCTCTACGCAGCTGGAGTCACCAAGGCTCCAGAATCTCAGGCCATCTTCAAGGGCAGCCCCTGCAGCAATGCTGATTCAGCAGTCCTCACCCTCTCTGGCACATGGCAGCCCATGAGCCCTGTGTCTTGGTCGCTGGCCAATGTCGTGAAGGTGTCGGCTGCTGACGTGGCGGATGTGCTCGCATCACTCCAAGTGGTCACCAATGATGACCTTTACCTCGGATTTTCCGGGGCTGACGGGTCACTCTCAGGAAAAATGATTGGTGGGAAGCTGTGATTCGTCGAACCAGAACAATGATGATATTGGGGTGGTGGGGGAACATTACAGGGGCACCACACACGCATGCTGACGCTCAAGTAAACTAGGTAGTAGAATAGTAGGCTAGAAATGGTGCCTTTGTAATGTCTCTTCATCACATATTTTGGTTCAATTTTGACAAAGCAAGAGTTCTAACCTGTGACTTCCTTTTGTGGATAGCTAGGGTAACGAAATGTACAACCGTTATCAGACACAAACAACGGTTTACACGGAAGCTCTGTTGTAAGCCTCGGTGTGTAGAAAGAAGGCACTAGAGTGGTTCTGTGCTAACTGTAGCAGCAGTGCTTCTTGCAGGAGACCATCCACGAGAACCAGCTGCGGTAGGGGAGAGAGAGAGAGAAAGAGAGAGAGAGAGAGAGAGAGAGAGAGAGAGAGAGAGAGAGAGAGAGAGAGAGAGAGAGAGAGAGAGATAGAGAGAGGAGAGAGAGAATAGCAGCAGCAGCAGCAACAGCAGCAGAAACAGCAGCAGCAGCAGCAGCAGCAGCAGCAGCAGCAGCAGCAGCAGCAGCAGCAGCAGCAGCAGCAGCAGCAGCAGCAGCAGTGCGCCGCACATAAGCCTCATGAAGAGCACCAGGTGCGGAAGCATCCGCCAACTGTAACCCGAGCTTCTTGGTGCAATCAACCCCTGGCAGTTGGAGCATCCCTCTTAGGCAAAGAAGCACTACCAGATGGCAGAACTACCTGCAGTCAAGGGGCGTGTTAATAAAGAAGTTGTGAGAGAGGGAGAGTGCTTGGAGGTAGGGGACATGGGCGAGAAGGGTGATGGCTGAGGAAAAGGCAATGGATTTTGGGAACAAGATTAGAACCTGTGGAGTTTGTAAGTTCTCCCAAAAGTTAGGGGGATGGGAGGAAGTGGGGGATGCAGATAAGTTTCTGGGATGCTATCAGAGATACAGGGAGAGAGAGCAGGGTAGAGGGACAAGCACTTCGGAGAAGGGCCTGCGATTGTGAGAGAGGTATATGAGGTCTCGGATGGGCGTCGAGACTTGGGGGGGTGGGAGAAAAAGAAGAGATGCAACAAGCATTTGCCAGTGTCGCTTCTAAAATTTCTTAACAGTGATGCAGGTTACACCAGCGAGAGGAAGCTGCGGTGGGAGCACCATGTCTACACAAGCAAACAGCAACCAGGCAGTCTCGCTGGTGCAAATGCTAAGAAGGTGAATCACGCAAAGCGTAGCAATGGGGATGACAGGTAGGTGATTTCTGAGTTGACCCAATAGGACATTGCAGAAGTAGCGACTCTAGTAGACTGCGACACCTTGGCTAGAATCTGCCAGAGCGCATCGGGGAGAACCAACGGGGAATCTTGACTCTCTCAAAAGCACCAGACCACTTTTTGGGCTTTCAGAACCTACGTAACTGCCCCTTTTGGCCCTCGGAAACTTCCCTGAACGTCCTGATTAGCATGTGCCAGAGCACACCGAGCAGCACCACCAAGGCACTTGGGCTCTCGCAAAAGCATCAGACCAGTTTGTAACAACATGGACACCTTTACTAGTCTAATGCCACCCCAAATCATTATATAGTCCTATATTAGCATAATGCCACCCCAAATCGACTTTCTAGCTCCTCACAACCCACTGAAAGGCTTCTCCTGCCCTCCGGACGCTCCCCCAAAACCCTGGCCAGAATCTGCCAGAGCGCACTCGTAAGCATCGCCAGTGCATTTTGGCTCTCGCAACAAATGCAAACAATTTTTCAAAGCACTGGGCGCCTTCATTAGTCTAATGCCACCCCAATTCGGATTTCGAGCCCCTCACAACACACTGCAACTGCCTCTTTTGCCCCCGAGGAGCTCTACGAAAACCCTGGCCAGAATCTGCCAGAGCGCACTAGTAAGAACCGCCAGGGCAAATTGTTTCTCGCAACAGTTGCAAACCATTTGTCAAAGCCCTGGGCTCCTTAATTAATCCATTCTACCCCAAATTGACTTTCAAGCATGTCATAACCCACTGCAACTGCCCCTTTTTTACATCCGGAGTTCCTCGAACTCCCTGGCCAGAAACCTACAGAGCGCACTGGAAAGCACCGCTAGGGCATTCTGGCTCTTGCAACAGTTGCAAACCATTCTTCGAAGCCCTGGGCACCTTTATTAGTCTATTGCCACCCCAAATCGACTTTCTAGCCCCTGAAAACCCACTGCATCTGCCCCTTTTGCCCCCCACTGGAGCTCCCCGAACACTTTGGCCAGAATCTGCCAGAGCAGCACCGCCACTCAATTTCGGCATTTGGAATTGTTGCACGCCACTTTTTGAAGCCCTGAGCACCTCTTTTAGGCAAATTCCATCCGAGATTGACTTCTTGGCCCTCAAAACCCACTGCAACTCCACGGTTTGCCCCCCGGCAACTCCCCGAACACTCTGGCCAGAATCTGCCAGAGCAGCACCGCCACCCAATTCCGGCACTCGCAACAGTTGCAAGTTCCTTTTTCAAGCCCTGGGCACCTTCTTTAAGCTAATGCCACTGCAAATCGACTTCCAGGCTCCTTAAAACCCCCTGCAACCGCCCCTTTTTTGCCCCCCGGCAGCTTCCCGAACACTCTGGCCAGAATCTACCAGAGCAGCACCGCCACTCAATATCGGCATTCTCAACAGTTGCAATCCACTTTTTGAAGCCCTGTGCACCTCTGTTAGGCTAATGCCATCCTAAATCGACTTCCTGGACCCTCACAACCCCCTGCAACTGCACCGTTTGCCCCCCGGCAGCTCCTTGAACACTCTGGCCAGAATCTGCCAGAGCAGCACCGCCACTCAAATTCGGCATTCGCAACAGTTGCAAACCACTTTTGAGGCCCTGCGCACCTTTTTTATTCTAATGCCATCCCAAGTTTACTTCCTGGCCCCTCACAACTCTCTGCAACTGCCCATTTTTTCCCCCCTGGCAGCTCTCCGGACACTCTGGCCAGAATCTGCCAGAGCAGCACCGCCACTCAATTTCAGCATCCGCAACAGTTAGAAATTAATATATGAGGCCCTGTGCACCTTTGTTATTCTAACGCCATCCCAATCTAATTCCTGGCCCCTCACAACCCTCTGCAACTGCCCATTTTTTTCCCCCTAGAAGCTCTCCGGACACTCTGGCAAGAATCTGCCAGAGCAGCACTGCCACTCAATTTCGGCATTCGCAACAGTTGAAAATTGAATTATGAGGCCCTGCGCACCTTTTTTATTCTAATTCCATCCCAAATCTACTTCCTGGCCCCTCACAACTCTCTGCAACTGCCCATTTTCCCCCCTTGGCAGCTCTCCGGACGCTCTGGCCAGAATCTGCCAGAGCAGCACCGCCACTCAATCTCGGCATTCGAAACAGTCGCAAGCCAATTTTTCAAGCACTGGGCACCTTCTTTAGGCTAATGCCACCCCAAATTGGCTTCCTCGCCCCTCACACCCCCCTGCAACCGCCCCTTTTGCCCCCCGGCAGCTCCTCGAACACTTTGGGCAGAATATGCCAGAGCGACATCGCCACTCAATTTCGGCACTCGCAGCAGTTGCGAACCACTTTTTATAGCCATGGGCACCCTTGTGAGTCTAATGCCACCACAAATCGACTTTCTAGCCCGTCACAACCCATTTAAAATTTAATTGTGAACACTTGCGATTTGCCTTGCAAATGCAACGTCTCATTTCAACTGGCAAGTACAAGATTTTATCGTCCAAGCATTGTACAACATATAGAGCTACCATGCATCTCATGCTAGGGTGGGGGGGCGGGAAACTTGAAATTGAAAGTTCGAAATGAAAACGTGGGTGAAGGCCAAATGGCCTTCGCCCCCTCTTTTATACCGAAAAAGAGGGGAATTAGCGTTTCGCCGAAGCCTTTGCTTCGGTACAATTCGCTTCGCTATTCACAATACACAATTTTGAAAAGTGTTACACACTTAAAAATTTTACATTAATTGGAATTATCCAGTTTTTTTTGTTGTATTCCAGATGATAGGAAAACCAAATTGATATGAATATCAGAAGATAATGCGTGAAAGATTTTATTCTTTGTTACTCTTGTGATGTTTCATGTATGAACAAAATGGTTTCTATTACTTTTTATATGTTTTCATGTATGAAATGTATTTTCTGTTTCCATTTCCTGTGTTCTAACCTTGCGCCTTTCAGCGAGGTTTGCGGTCAACGCGATTCACTTGTCGTTTTTGCTGATGCCTGCGCCTGTGTGCACCCGCCGTTCCCTCCCCACCCCATTCAGCACCGTCGCCACGCAAGCACAGCACCGCCCCGCACAACCCGTTCCGTCATCTGCGGCAGCCCCCAAGCGTGCTTCATCACCGCTCTCAGTCACCCTCGCGTGCGGCTCGTCGGCAGCAAATAAGCCAATCAGGCGCACGAAATCCGCGGTCCGCGGTGAAATTCACAAAATTTCAAACCGGGCCAGCAGGTTCGTGCGGCAACCTCCCCAAACCCCAACTCTCTCAACCCCACCCCACCTCACAAACCTTTGCGCTCAATCCATCCCCTCACGAACACATATATCCAGAGCAACTCTCTGAACAACTCACACCCACTCACAACTACTACTACTAGTCGCATGCTCATACCTACTGCTAGGTACTAAGATACTCGCTTTCCCTCGTCTGCGCCTATAATTTCGTAGCATTGGAAAAAACGCCTGCTCGATTCCTTCTCTCCAGTAGCGCCTCACTGACAGTTCTTCGTTTGTCCGCGCCGTAGCTCCCAACCGTCAAATGGCACACGGCACTTCAGCACCTTCCACGTTTGTTGCACTGCTCTTCACAGGTGAGAACACTTGCCATAACTGTGCCGTCGTTAGTAGTAGCTGCGGAAGTCTTATCTTGATACGCCAAGCAACTGAATCACATCTTGCAGCTTAGTAGTTTAATTGAAAACTGACAAAAAAAACGCTCACTCTCTGTTTTTTCTTCATTTGCAGTGCTTTTGGCAACACAAGCCGATGCAAGTCGATTTCTTCCCAGCGCCGTCAACCGACTGCCAAGCAGCTTAGACTCAGCTGTCGCGGTGGCAGGCGCAGCAGCCAGTAGCAGCAGCCTCGCAGCAACCCTCGGTTCAACGCTCTCCGACCTCCAGACATCCGTGAACGACCAGATTGCGTCTCTAGACGAGCTTCTAGGAACACCGCTCGAGAAATTCTTGGCAACAGTTAGCAGCTCCGCGCCAGCTGCAAGCGCCGCGCTCCAGGCACAGATAACCGCGCTAAAAGCCAACCTCGGTGCTTTGAATGCGAGCCTCGTCAGTTTGAACGCGTTGAACATCTCAGGGACCAATCTGACCGTTACTAAGGATCTGGTTTCTCAGATCTCAGGCGTTCAATCCAACATCTCCTCGATTAGCACCAGCATAGCTGCTCTGAACAAGGAACTAGCTGGGATTATCGGCTCAGGCATAGGCTCGGGAGTAGGCTCGGCGCGAGCGTCGATTGCATCCGGTGCTGCTTCCTTGAGGCAGAGCACTGCGATCCGAGCGGCGCTGAGGCAGCGGCTGGCGGCAGTGACGCAGAAAGTAGCGGGTCTCAACGCGAACGCGTCTGCGCTCGCTGGGATGGTGAACGGCCTGAGCGGTGCTCTGAAC